TCCACCTCACACCCCGAAAGGGCCTCAGCTGGGTGCCACCGAGGCCTTGCTGGACACCCCAGGGAAGCTTAGTGCCATCCCAAGCACGAGCTCGCTCTCCCACCCCTGCAACCACAGCTCTGCCCCTGCCAGCACCGACCTGCAGACAGGGGATGTCGCCTTCCGAGAAGTTAAATGTCCCGATGACGTCCTCCCCGATCTTGTACACTGTCTTAAAGATGCAGAAGGTCCCCACCTTCCCGCGGGTGTTGCTGATGTTATACAGGTCTGTGCAGAGAGCAAAGGGAAACAGGTTGCAGCCTGGCGATTGCTCCGTGCAGCAACCTGGGGGGATTTCAGAGCCCACAGACATGAGTCCTGGGAATGCAGGACAGGTCCCTGCAGGGAGAGGAGCTGGCAGGAAGCAAAAGGAAACCATGCAATGTGTGATATGTCAGGGAAGAGGCTCCACCTGGCTGCGATAGGAAGACCCTAAGCCTGGCAAGGAGGAGGTTAGGGGAAGCTGATCTGAGCAGCTCCTCATGATCCGAGCTGCTCCACAGCACCAGTTGCAGCTTTGTTTTACTACCATGACATTTTGGCAGACGGCACTGACAAGGACAGGCCCATGGGTACTGCCTGCCTCAGGCACAGGCTAGGAGAGCAGGATCAAGCAGGGAGAATGACCTACGCAAGCTGTGCCGGGAGGTGGCCACCATGAGCAGTTCCGTCGCCAGGTCCATGAGGCGAGAGTCTTTCTTCAGGCCCTCCTCCTCCTCCAGAAAGGGGTTTGAGGGAGCAACAGCCTCATCCTGCGGGAACTGGTAATTCTTGAGCCCTGGGGAGAAGGTAGGAGAGTCAGCAGGGCAGGGCAGGGTATGGGCAGGCCTGTGCCCAGGGTGGGGACAGCGCTGCGGCCTTACCGTGCAGGACAAGGACACGGAAGGGCACGCGCAGGAGCTTGATGGGGGAGTTCACGCGCTGGCAGCCGATGGTCAGCTTGTACACGTACTTCACCGACTGTCCCCGGAAGGAAGGGGGGCCATCCACGGGCAGCGTCTCACAGTAGGAATCTGCAAGGAGCACAGAAGGGATTGCTTTCCAAGGCCACGCTGAAGTTCCTGGAGCTGCTGGCCAGAGACCCCCTGCGCTGGCGGTTGGGAAGAGCAGGGGGCTGAGCAGGGAGCAGAGCAGGTTTCCCTTGACAGGCCGAGCATGTGCTCTGCTGCAGCGCCCCGTGCTGCACATGCTGCCTTTCGGACGCTGCTTCTGCATCGCAACCACATGCACCAGCTTTGCCTCCAGAGAATGTGGAAGCTGTGAAACTCGGGAACACGAGCACAGAAGGACTTACGCATCACAAGCTCAACCCAATTTCGCATCTGCCCGCTTCCTTTCCGTGCCAAAGTGGGTATAAGTAGCCAAAAATAATTAACTAACAACCCTTGGAGTCATTTACGGAGCAGCCTCCTTCACAGACTGGCTCTGAACGAGCCTGTGACCTCCGAGACACCAGCCTTCTGCTTTGCACAGTGCTCAGCCCTCTCACAGCCTGTTATCCACTGCATGAACCCCAGCATGGTGTGAGCCCTTCCGCAGCTTTCCCAAACTGCGTAACAGCAATGAAGCAAACAGCGGGTGGAAAGTCTCCGTCTCCCTCCGGCTTGCCCACCGTGACGCAGATACCCCCTGCCAGCGGAAAGGCA